TAAAAATCTGTTGTCTGATTAAGTGTGCATAAGACAACTGTAAAAAGATTTGGGTTATTTTATTTTTTAAATGACTCCTCGGTCTGACTTTTTGATTTACAAATCTTGTCAGGTAATAAATCATGTGGTAATGACAGAATTTTGAGACAGAAAACAAGTCTTTTTCAAACATCCATGGAACCATTATTCGTTAGGAAAAGAAACCTGTAGGCAAACACCATAGAGGCATAGGCATCACAAGGTGCAGGATGGATCTCCCAGGCAGAAGGTCTGGCCAAGGACAATGCGTGCAGTCCCAATCTCCCTGGAGTCCTCTAGAGAGGGTGCTTGTGCCATACATTCAGTCCAGCTTGCTCACTGCCAGGCAATCTAGAAAAATTCTGTTATCACCCAGGTAGTGATCCAGTTTGTTTCTTTACAAGTTTTTATCACATAGGTCACATTCTGTCCACAAGGCTATAAAATTGAAACTCACAGCAGAAGATTGGAGGAAAAAGTTATTTAGAAATAAAAAGTCTCTTCTAAATAATTCAAGTTAAAGAGAAAAATCAAACCTAAAAATACAGATCATTTAAAATGAAAAATAGTGAGTACACTACATACTGAAACCCATGAATTAATTTCCGCTTTCAGTCAAAATGGAGTAACAGGGATTAGATTTAATCTTCCACCTCAAACAACCAATACACAGACAAAATACATAAAACAAGACCATGGACATCAGGAAAAAAGGACAGTAATCCCTGAGAAACAGGAAACAAGGTGAGCCCTACAATTGCCTCAGCTTGCTACCCTGAAGAAATTTGGGGGCTGCAGTGTGGTAGGGTTGGGCAGGCAGAGTAGGCAGAGCCTGGCAAACTTCCTTAGTTGAAGGGGTCCAAGGAAACCAAGTCAACTAGAATGCCCAGTACACAGTACTGATGAAGGGCAGGTATGTGGTAGGGTTGGGCAGGCAGAGTAGGCAGAGCCTGGCAAACTTCCTTAGTTGAAGAGACAGGGCCAGGGGTCCAAGGAAACCAAGTCAACTAGAATGCCCAGTACACAGTACTGATGAAGGGCAGGTTGCGCATGGAGGGAACTCCTAGGGATCCGCAAAAGGTTGTCTCCAGTATTCTTGAGTGTTCTGGTCAGCATATAGGCTTGAACTACTCAAGGCTGGGAAAAGAATTTCCCAAAAGAATTAGAGAGGATATTACCGAGCACTCACATAGGACCAGAATCAGTGTCTGTTTCCACTAGCCAGACTAGAAAATTTCATAACTGTGGGCACCTATTAGAGTATTCAAAAAAGTCTTGCTTCAATAATGGGATAAATTAACCCTAGATTAAATACTTCTCAAATCCTACCTAATAAATCTTAAAAGCAAGTACTGAAGAAGTATGACTATTTACAAGTAACTTAACTGTTTCCCAGAACAAAGCTTAAGAAATACAAAATATCAATCATCCAATAAGGTACAATTCACAATGCCCAGCATGTAATCAAAATTACAAGGCATACAAAGAAGGAGGAAAATACATGCAATAATGAGGAGAGTGGAAACCAGTAGAAACCAATCTGAACTGACAAAGATACTAGAATTAGCGATGAGGACATTAAAAATTAGTATAAACTGTATACCATATCTTCAAAAACTTAAGTAGAATCAGCAGTGATACAAAAAAAGATCCAAATCAAACTTATAGAGAGGAAAACTACAATATCTAAAATGAAGATTATATGGAATTATTTGCTAACTAGACATTGCAGAAAAAAGATTAGTGAAATTGAAGACATAGCAATAGAAACTATTCAAAATAAAACAGAGAGGAAAAAATAATTTAAAAAATTCTGTACTTAACAGAACAGTGAGCTATGGGACAACATCAAGCAGACTCATATTAGTCTTTCCCAAAAGAATTAGAGGGAATAATACCCAGCACTCACATAGGACCAGAATCAGTGTCTGTTTCCAGTAGCCAGTAACATATTAGTGCAATTACAGTTCCCAAAGGACAGGAAAGTAGGTACAAAAAATTCAAATAATAGCCAAACTTTTTCCAAATTTGATGGAAACTGTAAACCCACAGATAAATGCAGCTCAATGAACATCAAGCATTAAAAAAAATGAAAAAAACTGTATCAAGACACATTATGATCAGTTGTCCAAAACCAGCAGAGAAAAATGACACATTATGTACGAGAGCACTTAAAAACATTCATGGTAAGATTTATATTATCTTTTAATTCTGTTTTTCCGTGAATTTTTTGAAGTACCCTCATACATGACAGCATATTTCTTATAGAAAACAAGCAAGAGGACAATAGAGCAACATTCTTTAAATACTGAAAGAGAAAAAAACCAAAAACCCCTTGATGGAGTTTGGATATGTTGTCCCTCCAAAAGAGTACACCTTTAAACTAGAGGTTACGCCGTCACAACCTTTGACTAACAGTCATGGGGCGGATCCCTCATGAATGGACTCATGCTCTCCCTGGGGGAGGGGGGATTAATGAGTGAGTACTCGCTCTATTAGTTCCTGCGAGAGCTTGTTGTTTAAAAGACCCTGGCACCTTCTCTCTGTCTCTTGCTTCCTCTCGCCATGTGATCCGCTTGTACCCGCTGGCTGCCTGCTGCTTTCCGCCATGAGTAGAAGCAGCCTGAGGCCCATGCCAGATGCAGCTGTCCCAGAATCATAAGCCAAATAAACCTCTGTTCTTTATAAATTACCCAGTCTCAGGTAATTCTGTTATAGCAACACAAAACGGACTAAAACACCCCTTCAACTTAGAATTCTATACCCATCAAAAATATACTTTAAAAATTAAGGTGAAAGAGACTGTTTCACATGTACAAAAGCTAAAAGAATTCATGACCAGCAAACATGTCCTATAAGAAATATTTAAAGAAGTCCTTGAGGCAGAAGGAGAATAATACCAGATGGATAAATGGATGCACACAAAGGAATGAAGAGCTCCAGAAACAGAAACTATGGGAATGAATAGTAAGGTCTTTTCTTATTAAGGTCTCTTTAAAAGAGAATCTTGTTTTGACACAAATAACAATGCAGTGTGGGGCTTGTAATATACATAAGCATAAAATGTATGCCAACAACAGCAGAGCCTCTAGCCAAGTCTAATTGGAGGGTGGTACAATATATTGTGACACGTAGTTTTTATGATAGATTGTAATGATGGTTTAGGGTTAGGAAATCTATTCAGATGAGTTATATATGTCAAATCCTCCTTTCCCTTATTCAATTAATGGACAAACTTTCTTTCACACATCAAAAATTTACCAACTGTGGGCCGGCCCGGTGGCGCACTGCTACAGTGCCCCACTTGGGAGCGCGGCGGCGCTCCCGCCGAGGGTTCGGATCCCACATACAGACCAGCCGCTCACTGGCTGAGGGAGGTGCGGGCGCAACACTGAGGGTTGCGATCCCATTGCCGGTCCCGGTCCGGTACAGGCGCGACACTGAGGGTTGCGATCCATTGCCAGACACGAAAAAAGACAAAGAAAAAAAAATTTACCAATTGTATATAAGACAGTACGTCAAAAGTTCATGGAAAGATTTGTATTATATTTTAGTTCTATTTTTCCATGAACTTTTTGAAGTACCCTCGTATGTGCCATGCACTGGATATTGGCAATTCAGTGGTGAATAAGATTTGGTCCCTGCCTTCATGGAGCTGTCTAGCAGGAGATAAACAAGTAGAATAAAGAAAAAAACAAAAACAAACAAAATAAAAATGTTAACAGTAGAAAGGTTATATGATAGGAGAAATACAGGGTACTATGAGAATACATAAATTGGCACTTAATCCAGATTTTTAGAGCTCTGGAAAAGCTTTCTAAAGGAAGTAATGCTCAAAGTGAGTAGTGAAGGACAGTAACCCTGAAGGCTGGAGTAAGGCTGAAATAAGGGGACTGAAATAAGCAGATACCAAATTGTTAGTGGTCATATCAGGCTAAGAATTTTGTATTTAATCAAGAGAAGTCAGAGGCCACTGAAACTTTAATGAGGTGAGTGATATCGGATTTACATTCTCAACTCTTAGTTTGTGGAAAGAACTTTAGGAATACCAGAAGCAGGAAAGCATTAGGGTGCTGTGGAATAGTCCTGTTGAGATAAGCATGCACACTAGGATGCTGGCAGTTGGGTATGGGAAAAGTGGACATACACAACCTAAACATAAAGTGGTATTGAAAACTTTGATGGTTTATTGAATGGGAAAGAGTGGAGTCAAAGATTCTTTGGGAGTTTTAATCGGTGTTACATATAAAAAGGTAGCATGGTCAAGTAAGTTTGGAAAATACTAGGTTATGTATAAAAAGATTTCTTTACTGTCATACTTCTCAGACCTTTATGCTGCTCTTTAAGAAAGCCACACCATATACATACACAAGATCCAAACATTTAATTACAGAATCCTTATTTTGCAGAACACCACATAAAATTAGTGTTCCATAGAAAACACTGGTTTAAAACTGCTCTCCCACAAAAAATCTCCTTCCGATT